CGCCCGCCTCTCTCTCTATTTTGTTTTGAGGCAAGATCTCACTATGTAGCCCTGACTGGCCTAGAAATCATGTATGCCATGTCATGTACACCAGGATGGCCCAGAACTCACAATGTAGACCAGACTGGTTTCAAACTGAAAGAAATCCTCCTGCTTCTGACTCCTGAGTGTCTCCCTCTCCCTCTCTTCCCGTCTCTGTTTTGAAATAGGATCTCCCTGTAGCCTGAGTTGGCCTGGAACTTGCTCTGTAAATTGGGCTGGCCTCCATTTCACAGAGATTCACCTGCCTCTGCCTCCCGAATGCTGAGATTAAAGGCTTGTGCCTCCACACCCAGCCTGTCTCTCTTTTGTGTTTTTTTTTTTTTTTTGGTCTTTTTGAGACAGGGTCTCCCTGTAGTCTCAGCTGTCCTGGAACTCACTATGTAGACCAGGCTGGCCTTGAACTCACAGAGATCCGCCTGCCTCTGCCTCCCAAGTGCTGGGTTTAAAGGCATGCACCAGCCTGTCTTTTGGATATAGCTTTTTACCATGTAGCCCAGGCTGGCCTTGAACTCAAGGCAATCCAGCCTGTGTTCAAGTGGTAGCTGTTTTAGAATCTTTTCATCTAGACTCAGACACCTGGAATCTAGGACATTCCTCTCCTCTCTGAGGAGGCCTCCCCAGAGTCACCTGAGGGCTTCTCAGAGTGCCTGAACTACTGGGGCAGAGTTGTAAGAGAATTCTTGGAGCATGTGGACTCCTAGCTGTAGGCTTGCTTTGCTCCCCTGAAGCTGATGGACTTGGGATTTTGGATCACCTAATCAGCTTTTTAGAAGACTATGCCCATGGTTTTTACAGTCCTTCTGACCCTGCTGGCGCCCTCCTCCCTAGGTTGAAGCCTCACCACAATGTGGCACGAGGCCCGGAAACATGAGCGCAAGCTTCGAGGCATGATGGTGGACTATAAGAAGAGGGCAGAGCGGCGGCGCGAGTACTATGAAAAGATTGTGAGTGACCAGACTTCTGGGTGTGGTGGGAGACCTCCAGAAGGGGCCCTGGGCATTCAGGGAAAATTCTTTTTTGCTTCCCACCATAGTTTTTGTGGTACTAGGGATCAAACCCTGGGCTTCCTGTGTCCTAGACAAGTGCTCTACCATCTGAGCTATATCTCCACTTCTCCATGTCTTCATTTTTTTTGTTTGGTCATTTGAGATGGAGTCTCACTATGTAGTTCTGACTGGCCTCTCACTTTATGTAGACCAGGCTGGCCTTGAACTCAGAGATCTGCCAGCCTCCTTAGTGATGGGATTAAAGGTGTACGCCACCATGCCAGGCCTCCCCTCATATTTTTTTTGGAGACAAATTCTTGTTATGTAACTCAGGCTGACCTCAGACTCAACTCTATCCCATGCTAGCCTTGAACTCAGTCTTGCCTGTGCTTCCTGAATACTGGGTTTACAGGTGTGTGCCACGTGCCCAGGGATAGTTATGTCTTGAGCCTAATTGTTGGGGACATCCTGAGGGCTTCTGTTTGTTAGGGCCTGTTATGTTTGCTGTGGTCGCAGTGTAGATCTGGGAATAGAAAGGAGGGAAGATTGTAGACCTCTGAGCAGTCCAGACATAAGGCCAGCAGTCTCTGGAACATTCTCAGTGCTTTTCATCACTGTGTTCCCAAAGCCCAGAACAGAGCAGCCATTCTGAGACTTGGCATCCAGGAACAGAGCCATCAATATTCATTAAGTGACATCTGACTGCTTCTCTCTGGTTTGATGCTTCAGTTGCTTATGGGAAAAAAACAAATTCCATAATTTAGCTGAAAGGCTCTTGGTGTCTGGCCTCTGCCAGCCTCCCGGCTACTTTCTTGGACATCTTTGCTGGCCCTTCTCCATGTATGCAGCCATAGGTGGAGCACTGGCCTGTAGTACTACCTTTCGTCTGTTAACATTTGCTTGTCTTTGGGACTCATGGGTTGAAATGACCCTTGCTTAGCAGTTTCTGTTCTGTTAGATGATGTTTGTGTAGACATCCATTAACTGGTGTCACTGCCCAGCCTTCCTTCTCTCTTCACTTTTGCAGCACATCCAGCAGACCAGAGAGGTCTTTCTTTTTAAAAAGATTTTATTCTTTTATATTTTTGTATATGAGTGTTTGCCTGCATGTATGTGTACTACATGTATATCTGGCGCTCACAGAGGCCACAACAGGGTGTCTGATTTGGAACTGGAGTTACAGATGGTTGTTAGCCACTATGTGGGTGCTAGGAACCAAACCCATGTCCTCTGCAAGAGCAGCCAATGCTTTTAACTGTGGAGCCATCTCCACAGACCCCAGAGAAGTCTTTCTAAAGCACAAGCCTAATCCTGTTCCTCCTTTGCTCAGAATTCCTCCAAAGCTCTTGAGTGGAATGCCTTTGGGAGAAGTCCAGGCTTCTCACCATGGCTTGCTTTATTTTTATATTTTTATTTATTTGTTTATTTATTTTGGTCTTTTTGAGGCAGGGTCACTGTAGGCCCAGCTGGCCTGGAGCTCACTATGTAGACCAGCCTGACCTTGCATTCACAGAGATCTGCCTGCCTCTACTCCTGGAGTAC